TTTTTTATTTATTTATTAAGATGTTTTTTTTGTTGTTTATTTGTTGTTGTTTTTGTTTTGTTTTTATATTCATATTCTTTTTCGTCTTTTTATTTTTTATTTAGTATATTTTTTCTTTATTATATTTCCTATTTTTTATCTCTTTGCTTATGTTAGTTCTGTATGTATACACACAAAAAAAAATAAATAAAATATACATATAAATAAAATATACATATAAACTAAATGTAAACACATGTTTATATATGTACATGTATATATACATATATACATGTATACATACATACATATATATATATATATATATATATATATATATATATATATATATATTTATCTCTACCCCAATATTTTTAATATTTTATTTTTTCTGTGCGTGCATTAAATTTTTTGTTTTAAATATCTGAGGACCAAACCAAGTGCATAAATAAAATCCATAAATTTATTTATTTATTTATTTATTTATTTATTTATTTATTTATTTATTTATTTGTTTGTTTATTAATTAATTAATTAATTAATTAATTAATTAATTAATTAATTAATTAATTAATTTATTTGTTAATTTATTAATTTATTAATTTATTTATTTACTTATTTATTTATTTATTTATTTACTTGTTTATTTATTTATTTATTAATTTATTTATTTATTTATTTATTTATTTATTTATTTATTTATTTATTTATTTATTTATTTATTTATTAGTGTACAGAAACTTCTACGCACCCTCGGAGCTGTAGTTTTGTGTGTTCCTTTTGCTGCCGTCAGCAGCAAAAAACATTTCACAAAAATCGCAGAAAAAATCTCAGAAAAAATTAATGCTTTTTATTGTAGACAATTTGATAATACTGTAAACCCTAAACCCTCGTAAACCCTAAACCCTTATAAACCCTTATAAACCCTTATAAACCCTTATAAACCCTAAACCCTAAACCCTGGATGTTAGAAGAAAAATGCTGGAAAAATCTCAGAAAAAATTAATGCTTTTTATTGTAGACAATTTGATAATACTGTAAACCCTCATAAACCCTAAACCCTTATAAACCCTAAACCCTTATAAACCCTAAATCCTTATAAACCCTTATACCTAAACCCTTATAAACCCTAAACCCTGAAAAAGAGAAGAAAAATGCAGAAAAAATTTCAGAAAAAATTAATGCTTTTTATTGTAGACAATTTGATAATACTGTAAACCCTAAACCCTTATAAACCCTAAACCCTCGTAAACCCTAAACCCTTATAAACCCTTATAAACCCTAAACCATAAAACCTGAAAAGAAGATAATCGCAGAAAAAATCTCAGAAAAAATTAATGCTTTTTATTGTAGACAATTCGATAATACTGTAAACCCTAAACCCTTATAAACCCTCATAAACCCTAAACCCTTATAAACCCTTATAAACAATAAACCCTTATAAACCCTTATAAACCCTAAATTCTAAACCCTGAAAAGGAGAAGATAAATGCGGAAAAAATTTCAGAAACAACTAATGCTTTTTATTGTAGACAATTTGATAATACTGTAAACCCTAAACCCTCATAAACCCTAAACCCTTATAAACCCTTATAAACCCTTATAAACCCTTATAAACCCTTATAAACCCTTATAAACCCTAAACCCTAAACCCTGGATGTTAGAAGGAAAATGCTGGAAAAATTTCAGAAAAAATTAATGCTTTTTATTGTAGACAATTTGATAATACTGTAAACCCTTATAAACCCTTATAAACCCTTATAAACCCTAAACCCTAAACCCTTATAAACCCTTATACCTAAACCCCTATAAACACTAAACCCTAAACCCTGAAAAGGAGAAGACAATTGCTGAAAAAAATTCAGAAAAAATTAATGCTTTTTATTGTAGACAACTCGATAATACTGTAAACCCTAAACCCTCATAAACCCTAAACCCTAAACCCTCATAAACCCTTATAAACCCTTATAAACCCTAAACCCTTATAAACCCTAAACCCTTATAAACCCTAAACCCTAAACCCTGAGGCGCAAGGAGAAAGGGTAATATTTTGTTTATAAATTTATTTTTTTGTTTGTTTAGTGGCTACTCTGATGATGTTTTTAATATATCTTTATTTCTATTTTATTTTATTTGTATTTTTATTTTTATTTTTTTATTTTATTTTTATTTTTATTTTTTTTTATTTTGTTTTTTATTTTTTTTTCTCAGGCAAATCGAATGGCGCACTTCAATACTACAGGACCAGAGATATGGTAAACTAAAAAAATAAAAAAAATTAAAATAAATAAAAAAAATAAAAAAAAAATAAATAAAAATAAATGAAAATAAATAAATAAAAATAAATAAAAAAGTATAAAAAAATAGAAATAAATAGGAATAAGTAAATAAAAATAAATAAATAAAAATATATAAATAAGGATAAGATATTAAAATTAATAAATGTAATAAAAGAAATAAAAAAATTAAAATAAAAAAGAAAAAAACAATATAAAATAAATAAATATAATAAAGTAAAATAATAAATTAAAATAATAAAATAAAATAAGCAAAAAACAACAAAAAATAAATTAATAAATCAAAATAAATTAAAACAATATATAAAAAAATAAATAAAATAAAAATAAATAATAAACATAATAAATAAAAATAATAAACAAAAACGATAAATGAAAATATTCAATAAAAATAAACAAAAATAATAAATTAAAAATAATAAGGAAAATAATAAACAAAAATAAAAAACAAACTGCTCTCGTCTTTTCTTTTATTTATTTTTTATTTTTATTTTTTTTTTTTGTTTTTTTTTGTAGAGGATATGTTTTATGTAATATGTAGTTTTCTCTGTTTATCCATTTTATTTATTATACTTTTATTCATTTGTTTATTAATTATTTTTTTATTTTTTTTTTTATTTATTTTACTTATTATATTTAATTTATTATTTTTGTATTAATTATGTTTATTTATTTT